AGATGAGAAAAATCATCATTGTCATCTCTCGAATCTGGCTGCTTCTCCTGAATTTCCCTAGAACATTCATGTCCTTACACTATGAGTGCTCTAAAAACTGCATTGATGTCATCCCCCTCAGAATCGGAAGAGAATTCATCTTCATTTAGCGATGCCTGCCATGATGGACATAATGGAGGAGAAAAATTGGCAAAAGCAAGTTGACTGAAACTCTGAGATAACTTCTTCTCCACAGATATTTCATTACCAGATTCAGCAGAATTTTTCTCAGAGCGCGAAAGGCTCGGCTCATCTCTATCTCCATTGACAGGGTAAAAATCCTCAAATTCGAACATATCTTCGTCGGATGAGCAGCGACAATACACTCAGCGACAACGAGTTCTTGTTTTGGCTGCTGGAGAATCAGGGAACGAGCTGACTAGTGGACATTAAGATCAAGATCTAACAGCGGAATGGGATTCATCTGAGGAAGAGTCGTAAGGGGAATGACAGTCGCGACGAGTAATGTCAGGTGTAGGACTATTCCAATACATGGAATTATTTCAATATGATATGCCTGGTATTGGATAATCCAATTCTAATTCGTTCTCTTAAACAAATTCCAAAACAACAAGCCCAGACGATCGGAAACCGCTCACTGCATTTGCAGATAAAGATGCTGTGTTGAAAACTTCTCCCAATAGTTCACTGATCTGTTGATGGGTCATAACTCGAGGGGCATTTGCTCGTAGCCAAGTGCTTACTGCGTGCCCCTGTGCCATTTACAATGGACGCATACATGCAACATCCAGCGGTTGCATTTTATGCGCGCAATGCAGTGGAAGACAGATGATGATGACACCGTTAGCGATGGCATACTTCAATAACTCCAAGATGTACTTGTGCGATGGGAGACCATCGCAAATCATTGCGACTGGATGTTCCATTGACGTCCCTGAGAATGAGACGAGCTTCTTGAACCAGATAAAAAATGTTTCTTTATCGATCCAGCCCTTAGGAGTTCTAACAAACGTACTCTCTTCAGGTGCACCGACAGCATACTCCTTTGAAATCGTGGAATTTTGACCGGGATAAATGAACATCGGGGGCATCACATCACCAGCTGCTGATACACACATTTCTACAGTTACTAATTGTCCCTTTTCTTCAGAAGCAAGTGTTCCAACATGTTTCTGACCTTTCCTGGCAAGTATTTTCGGGAGGTGTTTGGGGACGATCATTATAGCGACCTCATCTACATTCCAAATTCTGTCACGACCCAGATCATATTGTTTGATAATCTCTTGGTACAAAGTGAACAATTCGTCGACGTTTTCTTGCGTGAAACGATGTGTTCGGGTGGCAGAAGTTCCTTTAGGCTTTCGAATCAATAATCGATGGCCTCTCTTGATAAAACTCTCTTGTTGAACAGATGGCCAATATCATTCCTCTCTGCTAATTCATATTCGAGTTGCCGAATTTCTTTTGGTGTTATCCCATATAGCTTGCTCTGCCTGAAGAAAATCCAACTCGTAATGTATTTCTCCTGATCTTCTGTGAAAACCGATGTATAAACTCCCAATCCTGGAAAAAATGATGAGCAATTTCATTGAAAGAGTGCTGAGGATGGATATCAAGGAATGTAAAATTGGAATTGAAAAAAAAAAGAGTATACCGAGAAGAAATATTACCTCTGCACGAACCCGACATTTTCTTTTGTTTTTCTATGAAAATTGGAATTGTTTCTCATAAAAAAACATACTTTATTCAATAACATTCATTCGACTGTCAAATTCACATACAATTTTCCCAAAAGTCTCGCTTTCTTTATAGACTCATTACTTCAACTCATCAAAAATAAACATTTACTTTTTTTTTCAATATATTATTTTGTGAAAATAATTTCTCCTACGAAAGCACATCCTCTGAGAAATGGAGGAGATGAGGACAACTCCATCAATATGGAGGACAACTTTGAGAAAAAAAAATGGACAGTTGAAAGATTCTCGAATTTACCTCTTCTCATGACAATTTCCATTGATCCAGAATTCAGATAATCCTGAGTCCATTTGAATACAGTAGGATATGGAACTCTGAATCGAGTAAAATTATTCTTCACGACATGGCGAATTGCTCTTTCCATTTGTTCTTGATTCCATGATTGACGATCTATTGTCCTTGGGCGATCACGCATTGCTGAATTAACTTGAGTGAAAGAAATTTTTTATTCCGGAAATCAATCTTTTGCAATGGTGATGGAAAAAAAGGAATATCAATAATTACCTGAGTTCCGGACTGAATATTCAATGACACTTCAACGATACACGTTCATTGGAATCTCCAATCGTAAAGATACGTGATAAAGATGCTGTCAATAGACTCATTACAAGCCAATAAAATTTATTGTTCTTCCTTTAATCGATTTTGAGGAATTTAGATTCCCCGCGACCTACTGTGCTCATCGAGTCAGTGTGACCGATGAACACACTAGAATCCATAAAATATCGGCCGGCTGCATGACTGAGGTCTTCCATGGTTTCCCTCAGTCCAGGCCAAATCCCAAGTCCTGGGAAAGTCGGCCCATGATAACGCAGAGGGGGGAAACATGCGAGGGAAAAAAAGAGGAGGGAGAGGCAAGCAGGGTGCGGGTGCCAAATCGAGAATTGTACTTCAATAACAACAAAGTAAGAAATGAATAAATAAAAAAAATAGTTTCCTCACTTTTCCTTGATTGCGCTAGGGTACACACACTCTTCCCCCCTCCCCCCTCCCGCTACGCACAATAATACATCCAGAAAGTTCGTTAGTGCTTGATGAATCGAATATCAGTGATTGTTTTGCAGCCACCCTCCATGCTCATTTGTTACCGAGTGAAAAAGTCTTTTTGTCACTGCTGCTACGTTTAGCCCGTGTCGAAAAGTGCCTTTTCGTTTCGTTAACTGTGCCATTTTTCGTTTACTAGTAAACGAAAAGTCTTTTCGTTTACTAGACTACCTCGGGCCGCCAACTTCACACTATACAAATATACTATATTCTCATCATTACTCCTAATAATAAAGATCTGGGAGTACAGTGTGATTCAAAGACGGAAAAAGAACCAGTGACACCTAACCTCCATCTGTCATTCTTTTGTTTACATGAAGAAAAAAAAAAGTTGGAATTGCGTCTAATAGTTATTTCGATTGTTTCATTTTGCCCCACCCGCCCCTAAAAAACTATATTGTGTTCGAAAAATTGAGAAAATTTCCTATGAAATCTATATTTTCGGGGTAAATATGCGTAAAGACTCCACCACTCGCGATTTCTCTGCAAGTTTGTAAGTTGGTTATAAGCATTATTAGAACTATAGCTGTGAAATATTATTTGTCGGAAATGAATCCCATGGGTGTTATGGGCTTAAAAAATCTCACTTACCTCACCGCTCTCTGCGTTACCCAGGACCAATGACGTGGACGTGGCGATGTCTGGTCCCAAGGACAACACATGTTGGTACACAGAAAGACATGGGACAACACAGAGATGAGATGATGCAAGCACTCCAACCAAAACCCCGACTATAGCGACCCAATACACCTCCGCCGCCCTCCATACGGCTAAATTCATTAAAATAAGAAAAAAATTGGTTGTATTATCAGGTGTATCAGTCGGAATCCGTGGGTGGGGTAACGTTGGGTGAATAATGTCTCGCCAACTCTGTAAGGAACATTCCAAACCTATCAGTAAAGTCTATTGAACGTTTAAACAAGTACTCACATAGATATTCATGGAAGTGGCTCCGCTACATAATTCATGAATTTCTGAAAGACGCATGTTTACCGTTGAACAGATATTTCGCTACCGACGGGTATCGTAAATCCTGTATTATTACTTCGCAAATTACGGCGGCCCGAGAAGATGTGTCGAATTCGAACCCAAGGAATAGCCTTGAAGAATGTAAACATCCTTTTGTTTCTGGTCGCATATCATTTTCCGACATTCCTTTTAGCTATAAAACTTGCATTCCGCTTGTTAAAATAGTTATTAGTATGATATTTATTTTAAAAAATGTGCGGTGGAGCCTTTCTACATACGAGATCGGCCACGCGTGCTGCGCACGCGCCATCTCCTCTCCACACATAGTGGCGCTCCAGTTTCAGTCCTACGCTTACGCTTATTCGAGATTTTCGAGATCGATTTCTTTTCTCCTTTTTACGATAGGATTTATCCTTTTTACTTGTATTTTATAATGGGAAAATAATAATAATACCAAAAATCTTGAGAGAATATTTTAGGTCGATATTTGGTGGAATCGCTTATATATATTAAATTATTGTGGACCAAACTGAAACGTTCATCATCAATTCAAAAGCCTAATATCTCTGTTTATATTCAAAGATGTCAAGAATTCGGCTAAATCACAAACGTGTCGAGTAGATCACATACGTATGCTTGTAGCAAGCCGTGGGGTTAGCGAGGGGGCAACAGGGATTGGATCTGGTATATTTGGAGTTGAATTTCTGTGAATTATTATCATTAAAAATATGGTTTTTAAAATTGTTGATTAGTGTTATTAAGTGACGCTGCCTTACCTGAAAAGTTCACGTTTCGGAGCAGACTAGTATGCATAAAATTCAAAGGACATGCGTGAAATGAATTTTCGTGCTTGGCTTCATGCACTCGAAATTTGCTTCCCATACAGCCTTGAACTTGACGTACTCCGTGGCAAACCAAAAATAGTATTTTTCGACACAGTGACGAAGCACATTTTTTGTCACGACGGTCGTGAGCGGCTTTTTAGCACGCGCAACGTACGTGAAATGAGGCTCCACGAACTGAGTGACAAAAAAGCACTTTCATCCCACTGCCCTAAAAGTGAACTCGGGAGGTATTGAAAAAATGAAAAAGTGCAACTTAACGTACTTGTAACACAGCATACTATAACACACCGCTGAGTAGAACATGTACAGTTATATGCTTGCAGTTGCCTGTTTGTTTTTTCTCATCGATTCCCTTCCTCCCAACATTATCATCTCCATTTTCAGAGATAATAACGCAAAATTTATAAGTGAGGTGGGCCTCCCACCCTCAGATTTCCTTGACGACTCCAACAAAATCAAAGGATCATCAAAAAAACGTCGAATTCGTCCGATTCCTCTTGCCTCCAGAATCCCCCTGTATGATAAACTCCTGGCAGCTAAGGAAGAGCGGAGTAGAATGATTCGAGAAGAGTCCGCATGGAGTCTCATGTCTCAGGTGAAACCTTTCTACCTCGAATGTGACCGTAGAGCAATCAAGAGTATGAGCAGATCAACCCCAGAGCTACCAACAGGAAGAACAAAATCTCCTAAATTTAAAGCTAAACCAGTTCCTAATCATTTGTTCGGGACTCAAGTGTACGATCGAATGCTCGAGAACGAGTATTTCAGGCAATTACAAAAGAAGATCAGAGCGGCTGAGCTGATGAAATCTTCTTCTTTACCTCCCTCGATGGCTCGACGAGAGAGAATTAAATCGGCTTATGTCCCGAGAATGAGGAATTGTGTGAATCAAGAGAGTAAGAGGAGTGAGGAGAGTTTTAGAATGTGTAGCACTACTCCGCTGACCTCTGAGCGGTCCAGATCAGCTATGACTGATACTTCAGTAAGGGGAAATAATTTAGCGGCAATTCTACGGTGCCAGGCCTCACGGTAATACGCATGAATAAATTTAATAGAAAAACCTAGCGAATTCGACGAAAAATGCCTTTAGTGTTTGGCCGGTTCAATTGAACAATTCCACAGCTTTACGGCGCCTTTCTTTTATAGAGAATGTCAAATAGAAACAATTTCAAAAGAAAAAATAAGTAAAATTCCATCTTCCTGTACAACATTTTCGATTGAGACATTTCCTATAGGAAATCCTGGATATGAATTTTCTAAGTTTTATCCGCTCTGTTTCTCCTTTTTTCATTAATAAAAACAACAAAAAAACAAAAAAATTGAGCCGATGAATTTTTATAGAAAATATCGGAATAGAATAAATTGCATAGAAAAATCGAATTCTATTGATTTTTTCAATAAAATTTTTTTCATTTAACATTGCTATCGAAAAAAAGGCGCAGATAAGCAGCGGATTTTTTCAGTAAAACCGACTAAGAATGAATACAAATTTCAATACAATTTTCTAGCGAATTCGCAAGGCTTTTCTGTGAATTGTTTCTGTATGTAAATAATTGCAGTGGAATTTTAAATGGAGAGTATCTTGAGAAAAATCCAATTTAGGAACATTGTGAAAAGAGCTTTCTCATGATACCTGCCTGAAAAGTTCACTTCTCGGGACAATTTACTCTGGATAAAGCGTCAGTTTGCCGGATGGCATGTGTAAAGGAAATTCGACAATGAACGCAACGCAGGCTTGACGCAGCGCTTGCAATTGTTCAAAACAGTCGTTCAACTGTTTTCCGATTTTTTTGACAATTGCACACGTTGCGTCAAACCTGTACTGCGTTCATTGTGGAATCTCCTCTAAATACAGAGGTCGTGCATAGTAATATATTTCGTCATTAGGGGGAAAAAACGTTTGTGGCGAATATGTGTTTACAGTATGTATGACGAACAATATTAGTAGATGTATAATGCGGGTTGTGGGCCAACGATCTGGCGGAGACCTGGTCAAAAGGCCCCCGAAAGGGGGGTCGGGTGGGTGGAAGGGTTGAGTAAGTCGCGGTTTAATTCGCGGGTTAATCAATTTAATTCGCGGGTTGATTAATTTCATTCGTGGATTTTTCGCTCAAATGGGGCTCTATCGACGACTTGATCAATCCACCCCCGCGAGGGGGAGGGTGAAAGGCTTGATTAATTCAAGTGTCTTTGTTTAATTAGCGGGTTAGTCAATTAATTCGCGGTTTTGGCAATGTATCCTCGACCTAGTCAATGCACCCTCTCGAGAAGGTGGGTGAATTAATTCGCGGCTTGCGGTTTAATTACTGCGTTCATTGTGGAATCTCCTCTAAATACAGAGGTCGTGCATAGTAATATATTTCGTCATTAGGCGGAAAAAAACGTTTGTGGCGAATATGAGTTTACAGTATGTATGACGAACAATATTAGTAGATGTATAATGCGGGTTGTGGGCCAACGATCTGGCGGAGACCTGGTCAAAAGGCCCCCGAGAGGGGGGTTGGGTGGGTGGAAGGGTTGAGTAAGTCGCGAGTCGCGGTTTAATTTGCGGGTTAATCAATTTAATTCGCGGGTTGATTAATTTCATTCATGGATTTTTCGCTCAAATGGGGCTCTATCGACGACTTGATCAATCCACCCCCGCGAGGGGGAGGGTGAAAGGCTTGATTAATGCAAGTGTCTTTGTTTAATTAGCGGGTTAGTCAATTAATTCGCGGTTTTGGCAATGCATCCTCGACCTAGTCAATGCACCCTCTCGAGAAGGTGGGTGAATTAATTCGCGGCTCGCGGTTTAATTAGCGTTGTTGATTCGCGCGTTGATTAAATAGCGATTGAACAAATCTGTTCATGGTCCAGCAGACCCCCCCCTAACGCTTGAGATGACCTCAGACGTATCATATCCGCTGACCACATGGTATCATTTGACATTTTTCAAACATACTCAAACTTGAGATTTCCGGTACCTTGATGTTTCCTACCCCACTTCATGGGAAACCGTTGTTTATAATGATATGTAATTATTCATTTATTTAAAAAAGTGATGGGTACAGGAGTGTTGTTTATGTTATATATTTACATTTCTGGTACTAAAAAGTCAGAGTCATTTTTTTGTTCACATTTAATGCCAAAGCCCACATCCAGTAAACCACATGTGTTCAGCACATGTCAACATAATAAAATTTAACAGAGATATTTTCCAGATGTTGATTTTCCAGGAATGCATTGTTGGTCTTTGTTAATAATTTTCAGAGAGCACCTGATTTTTCCATAGGTCACGTGATAGTTTCTGACCAATCACATAACATTTTTCTCACATAGATACGTCCATTGAAAATATGTATATAAACTGTGACGTAATTTTCGGGGTATCACGGACGCCCGGTCCACGACACAGCCCTCTGATACCCAACCCCCTGAAATGCCAAAAGTTGAGCGCCAACACGGTTCCGACCAGTGACCAGATCGTAACGTCGGCCCATTTAAAATTGTACAGGATTTGGCTATAAATAGCCAAAATCTGGCAACCCTGGTTCCGACTAGCTCAAAACGTAGAGATGCGTGTTTGGTTACTGAAAGAGCTTAGACTAAAGATGTGACTGGGTTACGTAAATTAAAACAAATTAACTGTCGGAGAATTCACAAAACTTAATAAATTCTGAAAACTCAATGCAAAACAAATCCATCCATTAAACAATCCCCTTTTCGCTTTTCTATCGTTCAAATAAATAAACAGGCTAACTAGTTACAGAAAATCACATTCGTTAATAAAAATAAAAGATTCTGACATGAATTAAAAAAATAAATGAATAAATAAGTCCTAAAGTCACGATAATTCAAAAATTCGAAAAACAGACTAGTTGGAGTAAACGATCAGAATCTAAATAAAGTCAAAGATGTTCACGTGAATCAAGACAACACAGAAGAACGTTTGAAAACGAAATATCTCGGTGACGAGTAAAACTGGCGAGCAAATGACTTAATCGAGACAATAGTCAGTTAAACTATCCAAGGTCACGAGACTTCTAAAATTCCTAACATTCAATGTCCTTCAAAAATTCACCGACACCAAGAGCGTTCGTTTCAAAATTTTCCCCCAAACGCAGCACTAACATCCATCAGAATTTATTCCACAATATTCACAAATATCTCAATAACTTAAATAAAGTAACCCCAATAACGAGAGTCTGTTCGCAACCGAATTAAAATAAATTAATTTCGACAAGCCACGAGACCCCTATAATATTGGATCATTTTAAACGGAAAATTTGTCAAAAATAAATGCGAATGCGAACGAACACGAACGAGAGTTTCAAACAATTGGGAATTTCACGATTCAAAGGAAAATTATTCATCGGGCAGACAAGATCTCATCTCAAAACTAAAATCATACAAATCCAATGCAAAGTTTCTCGCGAGACGTAACTCGAAAAAAACTCTAACATGTGCCCGAGACGCCAATGATCAGAGATCCTGCCCTTACAAAATCAAAATTAATTAGCCACCATGCCCACCAGAGTCCAGACACGAAACAACTCGAAAACCCAAAGAACTCCCGGCTGCATGGCAATGATCCAAACGTCCCAATAAATCTCGAAAACCCGATGAACCAGAGACCCAAAAGGCACGCTGAAGTCCAACATGGCTTCCCAAAACGGCATCTTACGAAAATCGGACAGACGTGCGAAACAACCGCACTCTGTCACCACCAGAAATGATCGCCCGAATTAATACAGGTGTCAGCGCGACCATCAATTGCGCGGCAATAAATCCCATTGGCCCCCGCATTACGACCATTAATCATCAATTATCATTGGTCCCAATTTTCCACGCGTGCGCGTCACCAAATTCACGCCTGCGCATGACAAGAATACGCTAAACATTCACGGATTACAGCAATAGTAAATTACAAAATATTAATCCGAAATTTTGATCGACTCATACATAACGATTTCTTCCTTCTGGAGATTCAAAGTTGATTAAAAGATGCCAAATCGCAATTCAACGACATGGCACGACCCAGGTGATAGCGTTATCTCTCTCTGACGTAGACCCGTTTTTCAATCTCCAAGACGTCCTGTGGCCTCAGCGCTTCAATTTCACGATTAAATGTCGAAGCTGTACGTGACCCAGCGGATACTCCAGATTCCATCGGTTTCGACGGAGCAATGACGATGCCAAAATCCCTCGATATCCCTCGAAGGCCACCGAAATACAATACAAAATGAGTCAATAAAACATAAAAACTTTTAAAATGACTCGTTGTTGTCAGGTGACTTCAGGTCTGGTGGCGACTGAATTAAAAACCCGAAATAAATCACGTGACGGTCTACAAAAGCCCATGAAATGACTTGTAACGAAAATATCACGTTACAAAACAAAACGTCCGTCATTTCCCCATCAGTTGTACGGTATCCGTTAATCTAGAACAACATGGATTTCGAAACGTGCAGGAGACTTTTGAATTCTTTACAAGAAAATTATAAGCTGATCCCGATTCAAAGAAGACCAGCAGAAATTCAACAACAGCTTAATAATATCAGGCGTCATGTGAGGGAAGTCATTCGACTTTTCAGGGAGCTCCCCAAGATGTGGAGAACCTCATCAACTGCTGTCATTGGGCTCTAGGAAGATTGAACGACGATCCAGACAAGCAATCGCGAACATTCTATCTGAAGTCCTCCGTTCTGTTGCTTGAAGTTTCCGACGCCGGCTGGAGTTGTGCCTTGCTGTTAATGACGGTAACGTCGAACATCTTCTGTAATTACTATTCGCAACACCTATACGAAGACACCTGTACCGTATGTGGAATAGAAGTTGTAAGATAGTCTTAATAAAGATATTTTCCGTTAATTTGATTTTCGTACGATTATTCACATGAAAACGATGACGTCATCGAAAAATATGGTATGGTTGAACTTTTCTCGGCGAGACGAACAACTTTTGTAGGGGTGAAAAATATTGTTGTCATTAAAAAAAACTGACTTTATGCTCGTAGCATAGAAACATAAGCAATGGGGGCCTGGACTCCA